GGGCTTTCTTTCCAGATTCATGCACATTCGAAATCGGTAAATCGTTGTTTTATCTTCTCAAATCAGATTTCGGTAAGTCAAATGATGTTTCGATTTCACGCATATTAACGGCATGCTCTTGATGAATATAATATGCACATTATCGGTGTAATATCTCCTACAGAAAAATGGGGCATCATTCATGCTGCGAAAGACAGAAAGTGAAGAGATGGCTTTGGTCACCTGAGGAAGATGAAATACTCATTAACTACATATCTACTTATGCCCATGGCTGTTGGAGCTCAGTTCCAAGACTTTCAGGTATGCCGCAGCTTTCCATATCGGCATAAAAATAGAAAACCTTTGATTCGATTTATAGCTGGCAAGAAAACTCGGTTATGGGGAAGAAATATGCATATGTGTGAACTGTGAAGGCTTTTCACCAAAAAATATGTGATAAATGTGGTTGAAATAACATACATGTGGTCATTTCTAACAATCAAATTAGGATGTCTTCAACATGTGTGTATCAGAGTATATATATGTTTATATGTCGTTTAGGGTTCGATCGATTAGGTTTTTCACCCACAAAACTCTACATTTAACTAATGTTTGGCCTCATTTTTTTCTCCAAATTCATTTTTAACCACACGTTTCATGAGATGCACAACTTTTATTAACTATTCAACCACACATTTCACCAAATTTTACCAAAATTTACTGATAATCTAATTTTTATCCAAACCAAATGGGGCTTAGATTTCTACGACGGCGTATCCAAATGAGAAAAACAGGAAACTTTTCACGACAATCTTTTTCATTTATAGCCGGCACGAGAATTCAGTTTTCAGGGATATTCATCTTTGTGCAGGCTAAATATGTGTCACATATGTATGAATATATTATCTGAAAAACTTTCCATGAAACTCATTTTTTGGTTTGAAAACTATATGGTGCAGGTTTACGAAGATCTGGTAAGAGCTGCAGATTAAGATGGATAAATTACTTGAGACCTGATTTGAAGAGAGGGAATTTCTCTCCTCAAGAAGCATCACTCATCATTGAACTCCACAAGACTCTAGGCAATAGGTAATCCATATGATATAATAATAATTGTGTAAAGATCAATCATAATAATTTCATACTGTCATTTGATCACCACTACACCAAATCATGTTCTATGGTATTAAAAAGACTAATGATACATTAAATTCGTCATATAAAGATCAATGCCCGGTTTTTTCCCTCTGCAGGTGGGCTCAGATAGCCAAGTACCTGCCCGGTAGAACGGACAATGAAATCAAGAACTTCTGGAATTCAAACATAATGAAGAAGCTCACTTCTGATAACAATTTTTCGGATCATCAAGAAACATTTTCTGTTTCAAATATTGGAATCCCTAACAGCAGTGTTTTTGAGGGTTTATATTCACTAAATACAGGCTCAAATTTGAGCCAGTGTGGCCAATTGGAGCCCACAAATGTTCAAGGGACGTTTGATCATCAAGTGAGTTATGATTCTGATTTTGTTGGTGCTTCACCCTTGATTCCATAAATGGATTCATCTGCTTATGATCATCTTCAACCATGGCTGTTGATCAATCAGCCCCATCAACTTCTTGACCATCAAATGGTTCTCAAACAAGAAGATAATTTCATGTTTGGCAGTGGAAAGCTGTCAATCCAACCTTGTGCTGATGATCCATCCATTGTTGAAGGGAATGCAGGTGGGGTGTCCTCTTCATTTCTTCCGCCCTCAGAGACAGCGCCAAGATCGTTATGCCTTTCGTTCGAGTCGGAACGTTACGATACAATGTCTAGTATTGTCTCATGTTTCCCTTCTGGGATTTATGCATCGAATCCATCGGCTTGGCATTACCATGGTCCTCGTCTGGAGTAAAGCCACGCAGCTAGTTTCTTGGTAACCCTAGCCTGCCTTCAATCATGGAATCCTAGACGTGTTGTAACCTTTTCTTTCAAAAATCAGACTGGCGGTTGCGGTCAGCGGAAGGTGATGGTGGCGTGGAAGGGGTGGTGGTGGAAGGGGTTGGTTGGAAATGTGTTTTTAAATGTTTGAGTGGGACTCTGTTTATACTTTTTTGAAAATATTTGAAAATTTGACTGCAATAATTTCTTTATTGGTTTATTTAAGGAGAATGGTAAATTCATCATTTCATAATACTTTAATGAAGAAAATGGACCAGAATAATGTTTCGCGTAAAGAAGGGTCGATCAAGTACCCAAATGTCAAAATTAAAATGATAGAAATAATTTGTACAACGATGGCAAATGTTATGGATGTTTTGCGCCAACTACCTTAAAATAAATATTAATACATCCACATTTTTTAAAAGGCATATTTATTTAGTTAGTATGCCCCTGTTTGAGTCACATTAAAATTTCATTTTCATTATTCTACTCATTTTTAACTACACATTTTTCAATAAAATAATATTTTTCATCACATCAATAACTTTTTCTTCTTTTTCAACCACACACTGTCCACCAATTAACTATTCCAAAATAATGTGGTTCAAACACACCCCATATTTTAAAATGAGTGAAGTAAAAATTTTGAAGTTCGAAGTTTTCTTGGTGTTTTATTCCCTGCTTGATCCATTAGTAAAAGTATTTTCTTTATCTTTTTTAATTTCATAAGAGTTTCAAAGCTTGACAAGTGGTTTTTTTAATGAAAATTAAAAGTAGTCCCTGTGCATGACAAGCTTTTACAATCCAGCCCACTTGACATCTACATATATCTCCACTCTTGCGTATCTCTAATTCTTGTTGAATCCCAGAACAAAGTCTCGTCCAGCGTATACAAAAGATGGATTTTGAAGATATCGAGGAGTTTGAATATGAAGTACAAAAAGAAGCTAAAATCATCCTGTCAATTCTTTGTACCGACCATGTATTAAGGGACTCAATTTGTTCAAAATGAGATGAATTGCCTAGTACTCTCATTTTTCTTGTTCTAGTTTCACTTTCAGTGCTTCAATTACTGCTGAGAAGTCCTGGTTACTCAAACCACGGGATTTCGCCACCTTGTATAGTTCATTTGCAGCAGCTGCAATGGGAGTCGGTTGTGAAACAGATTCAGCTAATCCCAGAGCGAGTCGAAGGTCCTGCATAAATGAAAATTTGCTGTCAACAGACGTACTGAATTCCCCTATAGATGAAACGTGTAGGAAGATTTTGAACCTTTTGCTGATGCTTTAAAGGAAATGCAGTAGGATACAGAGACTGAACCATTGAAGGACCTTTCATCGAGTACATCGGGGAACTAATAGCACCCTGCGAGATAACCTGCAAAACACAACCCAGGCACAAAAATTGGTGCAGATTGTTGACCCATCATAAGATTAAAAGTATCTGGATCGGAAGTGTTTCTTGCTCACTTTTGCTACCGATTTTTATTTCCCTGATGATAAGTCTCAGTCATGCAATGAGTTCGAATCCCAGTTTCCACGAGACATCTTAAATTTCATATTTAGTATGTTTATCAAGTCAATAAGCAATTCAATTTCAGAATGCCAACTCAAAGATACATACCGTAGATTTATGTTTGTCTAATCAAAGTGCATGTCCAAAAATCTTGAAAATTACTCTAAAGAATGGATTCCCAGATTCAATTGAAGTATTATAAAAGAGAAAAGTCCATAATAAATATTATAAGCAGATGAATTTAATCAAGAAGATATGAGTTACGAGCAAATACCTCGACCAGTATACTTGGGTCCAGTCCTACTTTCTCACTGAGAAGCAATCCTTCAGAAAAAGATGCCATCATACTGAAAATTGTTTAGGGTGCAAAAACCAGTAAGACATGGATTTGAGCCAAATTTGTCAAATCTTATACGAGGAACAAAAATGAAGAGGTTTATCGAGGTAGTAAATATGCAGAACCTTCCCATAATCATATTGACAACGAGTTTCATTGCAGCTCCATTGCCAACATCCCCAAGGTAAAATCTTGACTACAACAAAGGTAAAAAATAAATTGGAAAAAGAAAATTGTTGAAGACAAAATTCAAATAAATAAATGTATCCCTTATCAACATGGTATCACAACACGCAAAGATCCTAAGTCCAAGTCTCGCCCCCGCTCATTTAAAAATTTGTGTACATGTTAGTTTTATGATATAAAAATGAATCTGATATGCGAGAGGGGGACATGTACAACATGAAATTGAATAAATTAATGCATATCCTCATCAACTTGATTTTAGATGAGGTTGTTCAACAAAACTAATAAGATCTTGTTATAAAAAGAAGAGGGACGGTGGTCGATGGATCACCTTCCCCATGATGTCTAAAAATGGAGCAGCTGTTTCATATAGAGATTTGTCACCTGCAACATTGCAACCAAGGCTTCAGTTTATGTCAGCCTTACTTTACTGTGTAATGCAACAGATGAACTGGGGGGTTGGGGGGGGGGGGGACGCAAACGTATACTGTGTAGAGGACAAGAAAACGGACAAGGAAACAACTAAGTTGCAGACATAGAACAACATATTCTATTGGGCCGACAACAGAACATGTCATCAGAAACTCGCAGTTCCATATTATTGTTGTATGTATTATGTCAGCAATAAACCAGATAGGTTTTACCTGCAGTGAGGAAAATTAGCTGTCCATCTTCTGCTGGTTTTTTTGAGCCTGAAACTGGAGCCTGTAGGTAGGAAAATGAAACTACGATAGCATATAAGAACGCAGATTTTTTTTTTAACAAATAATTGAAAGCCTAAAGAAAATAGAAACCTCAATATATTAACCTCCAAATATAGTGCTCCAGTAGACTTGATACGACTGCTAATCAATGTAGAGGTGGGAACATCAACAGTAGAGACATCTACATAGCTGCAAAAAAATTCAGAGAATATCCTTTTTTTTACATTTACGAGAACAATATAGAATCTAGATCTCGATTTACGCAACATGACAATATGTTTTCATTTTTAAAGCATCCCCGTGAACTATTATGGCATTTTCAAGTATAGATACATTAAGAAAACTTATAACATCAGAGAAAGTTTATGATTTTCTCATTAGGTTTTTGAAACTATGAACTCGTCAAAAGCTGTTACTCAGACTTGTCCAAATAACAACATTTAAACTTTGTCAATCCGAGTTATCAGGAGTGTCAAAACAGTTGATGCCGGCTGTCCTACTATATCAATCACAGTTGACACAAATTCTTTCTCGAGGGAGTACAAGCAAAAGATACCCTTTTCCAGGACTCATACCACCTGCAGCTCCATGATTTCCACACGCAACTTCAATCTGAAAAGGATGTTCTATAGCTAGAAATCACTGATATAAGAAGGAAATGAGATCCAACAAAAAAATATACTCACGGCACTTTCAGGATCAGCAAGCATAGCAAATGTCACATCACAAGATGCAGCTACTTCCTCAGGAGAGGATTTATACCTGCACATAGAAATCCTACTTAATTGAAAAACAAGCATCAAACCTAAAACAACAGAGATTTAGAGCCATGGGAGAGAGAGCTTTTTCCGAGAAGAAAGAAAAGGTAATCATGAAAGTCAGTCTAGCCTAACGCAGAGAGAGAGTGAGCATTAGATTGGGTTCATCTTGACTTCAGGAAAGTGAGGAATATTTTTATGTTAAAGTTAAATCCCATTAGGTTCTCTGAGTTCAAGATCGACAAATCTCGAGTGTGTCTGTTTGAGGTCAAGACCTTAAGAAAATTCAATCACGATCTAAACACAAATCTCGGAATATTTACAGGAACATAACCATTTAAAGAGCCCTTGATAGAAATCAACAGCTTAGTTGGCAATTCTTGTCGTGCCAGGAATCTGTATGCTGAATAAAATGTAGAAGGCTTTGATGTAGTGCCAAATGTTCAGCATGCCCCAAATAATCTTTTTCGTTCCATGACCAAGATTATTTTCTTTACCTAGTCCATAACATAAGCACGAACTCATCATGACTCATGCATAAAACTGGCCAAAATAAGTATATGATATGATAGGAAGTTTATCTACTTTTATCTCAAGCAGAGGTGACTGAAGGCAGTTAACTTATCAAATGCTAAAGGATAGGTCAGAACCGGGAGAGACCTTACAACACTACCAGCTAAAAGGGACCAAACTGTCTAGGACTCTTGAAATTGCAGATGTCTAAAAACGGAATGTATCATGTACTTACTTTGCACCCAAGGATATTAGGGGATCGCATTTGCTCTTTGTCCGATTCCAGACAGTCACATCACATCTGCGAATGCCAATCAGAAACAAATTAAAAATTAGAGAATTCATCTGCATTTCAATGTCAAGATACTTGACTAAGAAAACATTTTTAGTGATTCCAAAGTATATGATACCGATACCATAACCATGAGTGCTTGATTTTTGAGTGGGATTATATTTGCAAGAGAATAGTTCGATTTCCATGAGAAAAAACTAAAGAAATTTAACTACACAAGGGGCCTACATCCAAAAATAGTATGTCCCCGATGATTACCCAATCTAAAAGGATGCTTCATGGCTACGACACGAGTTTCAATGGTTGTAATCTGGATTCACTTGGTTATTTTCAGAAATATTAATACTTTTTTTTAAATAGGAGAAATATTAATATACAAGAAGCAGAAAAAAAGATGCATATAAACACATTTCATCAAAAGATGTATGCCTCAAGAAAAAAGGGAATACCCTGCTTTTATGAGATTCTGTGCCATTGGTGAACCCATAATTCCAAGACCAAGAAAGCCAATGCGAGCTGGCAACTCATCTATTGCATACAAAGAAAAACTTTTGTAAAATTTCCATTCACTTACTCATTTTCATCCAAAAATAAGTTAGCCTCCGTTTGGCAAAATTTATAAACTATAAATGACCAAACTTCATTTTCAACCACAAATTTCATTGGACCTATAAATACTATTCATTTATGCATCACTTATTTCTATATATTTATAAGTTAAACCGTCAATAAAATTCTTCCCAAATGGAGGCTTAATAATCAAATAAATAACGAATTTGAACTGAATTTCAATGCAAAGGCAACAAGAATGTGTACTGTCTCACAAAGATTGCCGCATTCACGATCACATAGGATGCATTGCTAGAAAAAGTACTATCATATTCATATTCATTACATCTAATTTCGACACTTGCAATGACTATTATGGAGACATGCAGTCATGCTTAAATAGACATTCACGGAGACAAAAGAATACTATTACATTAGGTATGTTGAGACATCTAAACTTTACAGCATGCTTAAATACATAAACTTAAATTTTTAACATTGCAAGGTGCAAACTACTAAATCCCATGACATATATGCCATGAAAGTTTCCTCAAATCTTCAACATACATGTGCACTTACTCACAGTATCCAAGAGAAAATTGAAGTTGCAATGCCATTACAATTTACACTGGCCATTAACAAAAAATGCATTTTCTACACAGACGCAAACAAAAGAGAATCTTGAGTATAATTAAAAGTTTAAATGGCAATTTAACATTTTTGTATCTAATCCAAAAGATTCTGTAAATGAAAGCAGTACCTTTAGGCGTCGAACTGGAAGGCTGAACAGAAAAACACTTGAAGGAAACCAAAGATTGAGATGAAATCGGAAAACAAGAGATGGGTCTGCGTCTAAATTGGGTGGGTACAGGCGGGCAAAACCTAGAACACATTGCCATGGTTTTTGAGGACGAGAATTTAGTGTTCTTTGGCGAATTTAGGATTGCAGAAAAAGATAAATGATTCCGGCAATTGGCATTAACTATTAGGATTTTAGCTATTTCCATTTGTTGAAGATTCTTGCTTGTGTGTACTGTTGATTACAGAGGAATGGCGCTGAAAATCCCAACTGTCGATGAGCAGCTCACAATTCGATGAACATCAGGAATTTGGATAACTTTCTTTTTCAGTTTTCACCACGCCCTTTTTTGTCTTTATTATTTCCTCTCTCTCTTTTTTTTTTTTTTCATTTTTATTTTACAAATATATAGGAACATAATAGGGATTGAAAAATCTGTGAAAAATTTCCCTGTATTTATAGCATCCCCGACGTGCCTGCATTGCTCCGTTTCGAATAGAATAAAGAATTTCCATCCCGTTATGTAGATAAGGTGGGAACGGAAAAATGATCCCCGTCTTGAATTCCTCGAATTCAAGACGAATCCTTTTAATTTCTTTTATTTTTTATTTTTTCAATTTAAATCATATTTTACAAATAAATATATTACTAAAATTAATAAATATTCGTATCTCCATCCAAAATAGAATCAAAGAATGAGCAAAATCATGTTACATATCCACTTAATACAAAATTAATGAGTCGGTCCACACTAGAGTTAAACAAGCTTAATACAAACTAGTTCCACTAAGGGATTTACATCTAGAAAGCAACTCGAGCAAAATCCATTCTTCTGAAATGCTAACTTTTTCTAATTGTTATTCATCATCCTCTTCGTCAAAATCGTCCACCAATTCTTCTTCTTCGTCTTCCTCTTCCCTACCTATGTCTTCTTCCTCTTGTTCAGAATCTTCATCGGTAGCAATGAAGCCTCCCAACGTTTCATCATCATCTTCATCTTCATCTTCCTCATCCATGTTTCTACTTTTCATTCCGGCTGTGCATTTACTCTTGCTTGTATCATTATCCAATTTATTATGATCCTTGGACCTCGTCGTATATTTACGTCTTTGAACATTTCTCGACTTTGTAATAACCTCCTTGTCATCTTCACTCTCCCCCGTCCACTCATCGTCGTTTTGTTCACCTTTCTTCCTCTTTCTTCGCCCTCCCTTCTTCACTTTCTTCTCATCATCATCACTATCTTCCCCTGGTTTCTCAAGAAACCAATCAAAATTCTTGACGTCACGAATCATTTTCTTTGGATAGCGATCAAACTCGTGTCCCATGACCACAAACTCGAACTCTGAATTCCCCAATACATAAGCAAAGCATCAGCAAAGAAATTCAAGACAAAATTAGTGGATACAATTTATACGAATAAAACATCATCATCTATGAAACAACTCCCATGAAAAAACAAATAAATTAGCAAACATGAGACAAATGTAAACTTTAACATAATTACACCATGTCATCTAATTGGAACATCTATTAACATCAGGAAATAGAACTGGGATCTCGAAATTTAAATCATTAAAAAGCAATTAAATTTGAATATAGCTGATAGACAATCATGTCTGATCAATCTATACAATGTGCAGTGATCCCACTGCCACATAAACTGGGGCTAAGTCCCAATGGGCTGAATGACATTATTCTATAAGATACAAAGCAAGAATAAGTCCAAAGTCTCAAATTCGAGACATGGTATGCAATTCGGATCAATAAAATCCACCCTTTTCAAAGCGGATGGCATTGATGACCATAGTAATTTTATAGAGAATTAGTCTTCTAGTTGAAGTAGTCACAAGGTCGCCCATTTCACAACCATGTGTAATAACCACATAGGGTAGGACTCGCCTTTAAAACCAGCTTTAGACTCACAAACTAAAACTTAGCCAAGCAACATGGGACACAATTAGGATCATTATGTAGCGCCTAATCTAATACCAAATATCATAACCATGTTAGGATCGATATAATCCAACCCACTTTTCAAAACAGATGGCATTGATGACAATATTCCAGATAAGTGATTTTATATGGAACTAGTCTTCTAGTTTACGTAGTCACAAGGTCGAATATTTCCCAACAGCGTGTGATAGCCTAGCAACATGGGATACAATTAGGATGGTTATGTAGCGCCTACTCTAATACTAAATATCATAGCCTCGTTAGGTAGAACTCATTCTTAAAACCAACTATTGTAAAGAAGGGTGTTCAGCTTACAAATAAAGCATTCACTTCAAACACATCAGTACAAATCTACAAAAACAGCAACACTACGAATTAAACTCTACAAGAGATTAACACACTAATGTCAAGAAACAAGTAAAGATGAATAAAACATACCTTTAATCGGGTCTATACCCGAAATATCAACGGACTCGGGCTCCAATTCTTCGACACCTTTTGGCCCGGAACCACTTTGCAAGCTCTCAGCCAATGTACTCTCCAAACACGACTCCCTTTTCAACTCATTTTCATTTTCACCATCGTCTGGAACCTCAATTTCAGTTTTCTTCAAAGTGAACCAAATGGGATTCTTTGCGGACACGCAGAACATGTCACCACTCTCCATCTCACCTTTTTCGGTGCTCCGAAAAGCCTTGACTTCGTTAAATTTAGCGGTGTGTACCCAAATCGGATTCTTGCCAATAACATGGAAATATACCCGGGTTTCATTTTTGGGGAGGTGAAAGGAAACGTGGTGGCGGGAAATGGTTTTATCAATGGAGTTGAAGCCCTGACCTCTGCCGAATTCTCGGGTTTGACCCGGTTTTATTAGGGTTTTGGATCTATCTGTGCCTTCAATTTCCATTTTCCGCGAAGCTTTGAAACTGGATTCTGAACAGTCAATGCCGTGGTAGGGGTGTAAAGGCCGTTTTTTCAATTTTGAAATTTTAGCACTTCAAGATTTTATTCTTGTTCGAAGAAGTCCCTAAAGTTTTGATAAGCCACATTACAGCCATCCACAATGTCTCATTTCAGGGAAGGGTCATTATTCTAAAATCTTCAACACTAGGAAGATCAAGAACTTCTAACAATTTCCTTTTTTCAGAAGTAAATTTTTTCGAAACAGTAAGCAAAAACTGGTGTTGAAAATCGATGTAACACGAAGAAAGAGAGTACACAGAATCTCTGAGTCTCTGCTACTATGGAGAGGAGAAATGCGTCAATAAGCACAAATTTTGGCTTCATCATAGCCCAAATTGAGATCATCTTGCTCCAATAGCTTGCCAAGAACTAGAGCACGATCACCACCAGCATTTGAGACCACAGTGAAGTAGGTGCCAGTTACAAAATCAATGTCATGATGACATATGACCAAATGTCTGTGTGTTCTGCAAGTTTGTGTGCTTACGTGCGCGTGTGAGATAGAGAAGATTGCATAAGAACAAACCTCAAGTGTTCTCGACTATTTGAACTCTTTTTTGGTTTTCATTTACAGTTTCAAGGTTTTTTAGAACTCTTTTGGCATACAAAAGAGCAACACCTAAAATTATAAGTAACTACAATTATAATGTGATCGGAATAAGTGGGTAGTAGTTAAAGGACAATACTAAAAGAAATGCTTTAATTTTAAAATAAATGAACGATTTACCTGGGACAATGCCCTCTCCAGAGCAGCCCTTGTAGCATTTAAAGCATCTGTTACCCAATCTTTACAAGCACTCCTCCACCCTATATCCTTGAAGGCATAACCTGCGATTTACCTCCTTCATCAAGGCTCAGGGCAGGGCAGGTGGGGGCCGCCAAGGATACGGTTCATACTATTTCCTTTCTCTAACCTCGGCTCCAAACTGAGAAACAAAATGGAGAATGACAACAATAGTACCAGGCACAAGCCTGCATTTTGAATTATGTGCTACTGATATACCTTGAAAACTGCAACACCGTCTGAAACTTTTACGACCTTTCTTGAGTGCATCATCATTAGCCGCTATCTATACATACAGATTTCTGAATCTTCTGATCTGTAACAAAATAAGAAGATACACAACCACGGGCTAGCTTCATCCAGAGTATTTCCACCCTGCGTGATTGCAGATCACTTACACTCTATCATACATAGATCATTACATATCAAAAGTTCCAGACAGCAGCATACTTACAGCAATAATGATGATGCTCGTTCTATCAGTTCCTCAGTTTCTTGTTCACCATTTGCAGAGATAGTGGCCCCCAAGAATTCAGATACACGAATTAGAGACAAAAAGAAGAAAAAAATGAAAAGAACACATGTACCCTAGCTAAGAAAATGTTTACTGATGTTATTAATCAGAAAGTAACAAGAATGGTGCTCCAGAAACAATTTCAAGCATGCACTTCTCAGCTTCATGCAATAAATCTCTGAAATAGTCCAGCACCACAGAAGATTAAAGATGCTGACAAATTTTATTTATTTTTTATTATAGAAATCTAAATGCAATCAAGTCTTACTATTATCCTACAGGAGTCACATAAAAAATATGAAGAAAATGTAAAAACCAGGTTACATTCAATGAGGTTGAATGGCTGAAAGTGAAATGGATATACAGACAAGCACATGGGCAAGCACGTTCTTTTTCAGTTTTACCAATATTTTTGATGTCCCAACAACAGATTAAACACAAAACCTTGTTTTCTTCAAACATAATCATAAAGCAAGGTTTCAAACTCAGTGGGCATTCTCTAGCAAATACAGTCAAAAGAGCTAAAAAATTGTTCTTCCCGAGCCACTCACCTGTGTAATCTCTTCAGGTGTACTAATCATTACTGCTCTGCTCTTCAGATCTGCAATAACATCATCAATGGCCATATTTATACCCTGCACAAGTCCATTACATTCACCCCAGCAACCACTGATTTACAACCTTCTGTGAACATTGCTTGAGTCAGAACCGAAGCACAAGCAGCATCACAATCTGGAGTGTGCATTTTATCATGAGACAGCAGTGCAGACAGCCATGACATTCAAATATTGCTTAATGAAATCCAGCTAAAGAGTTCTAATAGAATTGAAGGCTCGATGCCAATAGATTACCATCGCCAGCAACCTTATTAGTTGTGGAAGACAAATGGACAAGGTAACGGAGTGGGAGTGATGAAGTTGTGGAAGAACTTCCAATATCTACAGATATTTCACATAAAGAGTTATATTGTGAAGTGCTAGACCTCTGCAATGTTGATTCATCTTTGCATAAAATTGAGACAAGAGTTCTTCTCCTTGTAAATGTACAATTTTCAGTTCCAATCAAGATTACTTCAAACAAGCAAGTGAAATGAACTATATCTCTCAATAAACCAAGTTATCAATATTCCATTTGCATAACCCTTGTGAGCAAAGATCCAGTTGACACCTCTACAAGAAGAAAATAATTTATTTCATGAAGTGGAAGACGATGAAGTTAATTGTGAAATGCAAAATGAAGATGATGACAATGAAGAAGATCAGAATGTGAATGTTGATTTGAACAAATGACAGATGCAAATTGTAACAATGTTGCTTTCTTTACACATGGACCCGAGATGCTTCGAGACAATGGTGAAGAAAATCTTTTTACCAATAAGCACCTTGTAGCTTAAACTCTTAAGTCACGTGTGATTTTCGAGGATGCAGACTTGAAAGACGATCAAATTTTCAACACCAAAAAAATCTTACGATAGAATGCACATACTTGCAATGAAGTACAACTTTGAATTCTGAAAGAAGAAATCAAACAAGGAGACATGTACAATTGTATGCACAAATGAATAAATAGTTCAAATCTTTAATAATATATGTCTCCTTATTTGTAAATTACATTATAGATCCCCAATTTGTAACAATTTCGTCCCATTAAATTTTTATCTTACCTATCATCCAAACCTTTCTTTAATTAGCAAGGAGGAATAAAAATTAAACTAGTGCAAATTGCTACAAATTGAAAAGGTTGGATGCAGAGCGTAATTTACCCTATAAATAATTGTTTAAATGTTATTATTATTTTTTTTTCAAAATTTTTAAATATTTCAAACTTTGTTTAAAAAAATTTCACCCTTATCTTAAAAGGAATCCACATGGATTTTAACATTTCATTTCTAGCATAGGTAAATCAGAAGCAGTTTCGAACTTTTCACACTATCTAAACGGAGCATTCTCGTTCTTAACGATTAGATTTTGTTGTACCTACTGTTCTTTCCATTCAAAAATCATTAAAATAGATTGCTCAGTTGTAACAAGAGTCAAATTTTGATAACGACGAACAAGTGCAATGAAAAGAATTATCATATCCTTTTAACTGGGTGGTGGTATTATTTTTGGAAAAAGAAAAAGTTGACCAGCAATTTAAACGATGGTTAACTCTCATGAATTATTCAGGATGGACTTGAATATGGGCTTTTGTGCAATCCGGTCCATGTTTGACCAGACCAATATGGATTGGGCCAGTAGGCTATTTCGGTCCATGGAAAATCAACATATTGGTCTTATTCGGCCCATCCACTGACCATGCCATATCCTTAGAATCTCTGATCTTCAACATCTTACAATCTCAATGTTAATTTGCTTTCAATTTTATACATCAATTGCGTTTCGTGAAACCCTTTTCATCAGAAGCTGGAACCGAAAGAAAAACCAGAAATGAAGGTATAATCTTTTTTTTTTCTAGTTTTTCACTTCTGTGTTTCCAATATTTCAGCTTCATTTTGATTTAAATTTTCAAATTTTAACTGTAGGTGATCTTATAGGAAATTGTCGAAGTATAAATGTTTGCTTTCTTCTCCCCGTTTTTCGTTTTTCTTTTCTAAAGTTTTGTGAATTTTCGCCTGTAAAAATGGAGTCCAGTAGTATTGTCACAGTGACAAACCCGAATTTGGAACCTCGAGGTGACATGGAATTTGATACACACGAGGCTGCTTACGAATTCTATAAAGAATACGCTAAATCTGCGGGTTTTGGCACTGCCAAGTTGAGCAGTCGCCGTTCCCGAGCATCAAAGGAATTTATTGATGCGAAATTTTCGTGCATAAGGTATGGAAATAAGCAACAATCAGATGATGCCATAAATCCGAGGCCTTCCCCTAAGATAGGTTGTAAAGCTAGTATGCATGTGAAGCGAAGGCCGGATGGGAAATGGTATGTTCATAGTTTTGAAAAGGAGCACAACCATGAGCTTTTACCAGCTCAAGCACACTTTTTTAGAAGCCATAGAAATGCTGATCCTGATAACAATGATACTAAAGTTCGGAAGAGGAAAATGCTTGCTGCAGTGTCAAAACAATATGTTTCTTATCATTTTCCGATTCCTTCTTTAGAGAATATTTTTCGGAATCAGCATGATAGGGGCCGGTATTTGAGTTTGGAAGACGGGGGTGCACAAGTTCTACTGGAATTTTTTGCACATATGAAGGAAGAGAATCCAAAATTCTTTTATGCTCTGGACTTCAATGAAGAGCATCGACTGAGAAATGTGTTTTGGGTTGATGCCAAAGGCATTGAAGATTATGCATATTTTGGTGATGTGGTATCATTTGACACAACATATTTCACAAACAAGTTTAAAATTCCATTGGTCCTTTTTATCGGAGTGAACCATCATATTCAGCCCACGTTGCTCGGTTGTGCATTGATTGCAGATCAAACTGTGTATACTTATGTTTGGTTGATGCAAACATGGTGCTTGGCAATGGGTGAACGAAGTCCTGGAATCATACTTACTGACCAAAATAATGCCATCAAGGCAGCTGTTCCAGCTGTCTTTCCAGATACTCGTCATTTTTTCCACCTCTGGAATGTACTGGAAAAGATCCCCAGGCATCTTAATTATCTTAGCACGTGGCACAATACTTTCATGAAAAAACTTCGTAAATGCATATATAGGTCATGGACTGAAGAACTATTTGAAAAAAGATGGTGGAAATTGCTTCAGAGATTTAGTCTAAGAGACAACGTGTGGATAAAATCCTTGTACGAAGACCGCAAGCTCTGGGTGCCTACATTTATGAAGGGCATGTCTTTTGCTGGTTTGTATGCAGCTTCAAGATCAGAAAGTCTGAACTCTTTCTTTGACAAATATATCCATGGGGAAACTTCTCTGAGGGACTTGATAGGACTATACGAATCAATTCTTGAAGACAGGTTCGAAGAGGAGGCCAAAGCAAATTTTGATGCATGGCATGAAACACCGGAGCTGAAGTCCCCTTCGCCTTTTGAGAAACAAATGTTACTTGTATATACTCATGAAATATTCAAAAAGTTTCAAATCGAGGTACTGGGAGCAGCTGCATGCCATCTAAAAAAAGAAAAAGAAGATGGGTCAACTGTAATGTATGGGGTTAAAGACTTCGACGATAATCAGGATTTTATAGTGGAATCGAATGAACAAAAATTGGATATATACTGTTCATGTCGTTCATTTGAATATAAAGGTTATCTTTGTAGACATGCCATTGTGGTTCTCCAAATGTCTGGCAAATTCAGTATACCATTTAAGTACATACTGCAACGGTGGACTAATGCTGCCACTAGTAGGCATCCCATAAGTGAAAAACTGGACGAGGTACAATCTAATGTCCGTCTTTACAATGATCTTTGCCAACGAGCTATCATATTAGGTGAAGAAGGGTCATTGTCTCAGAATAGTTACGGTATTGCTGTTGCTGCCATTAAAGAAGCTCTGCTGCAATTTGAAAACGTGAGTAACCCTTCTGAAAATAATTTGAGCTCGAACATATCGGCAACTCCTTCCATTCAAGGTGTTGTGGGAGTAAACCAAGGTAGCACCATCACTGGTGGAGAGCAAATTCCTAATGATGATGCGATCCGGGCAAACAAGGGTGCCAAGAGAATAGATTCCGGAAAGGAACGGGTCAGTAATGATGGAAATGCAAACAAGGAAGGAAAGGTTGGTTTCTTTGTTTAATTACACGCTCTTTTGTTTTAAAGAAATATTTGTTGAATGCCATCATATGTAGAGCAGGTCCCTGTGGATACACAAATTGCAAATGTTGGGTCCCAAGGCGTCTTTCAGCAAATGGTTTGTCTCTTCACATCCTAGCTCATACTTTTAAGTTAAACTATAAAGAGATTTTTAGTTTTAATTGATAGGACATTCATAGGATTACTTGCATATACAATCACCTCTTCGTTTTTTCACCCGAATAACTAAAGCTTCTATTTTTATTTTCCGGAGTCATCCATTAACATAAACCCCTCAAAATCTACTGACTCTAGCTTGTGTAGTGTTGGATTTCCTCGTGCATCCAACTGTGCCCATTTATGCCTGGATCACATTATTATTATGCATTTGTTCTCCTCTAAACACATATTTCTTAAAACTTCTACCATCAGTTAGTCTTTTGCTAGGAGAACATAAATTTCATAAAAACTCCAGTATGCAATTAATTTATATTCAGTGTAGCACCATTTATATACGGGTTAATACCCTAAATAGTCGCCGAACTTTGCCAAAAGTTCTCAAGAGGTCATCGAACTTCAAAAGTTCCCTAAATAATCACTGAACTTTACAATAAGTTCCTATGAGGTCACTGAACTTTGTTAATACCCTAAATAGTCTCCGAACTTTGCCAAAACTTCCCTAGATAGTCACTCAACTTTGCAAAAAATTCATAATTGATCAATGAACCATTGATGTATGGGGNNAAGTTCGGTGCCTATTTAGGGTATTAACAAAGTTCAGTGGCTATTTGGGGAACTTTTGAAGTTTGGTGACCTCCTGGGAACTTTTGGCAAAGTTCAATGACTATTTAGGGTATTAACCCTTTATATACTAATGGTGCTATAGATGCAAATGGGAAAACCGTAAATTTCATTAAATTCCCATCACTGTCTCTGTGCGTGTGCACAAACTATAGATGCATATACATGCATGTATTCATGCAGATTTCTTGCTTGTGTCGTGCATGAAGTTAAATGGAAAAATTGCACCATTGGTCCCCCCAACTTATTTTCCAGTAGTAAGTTGGTCCTACCTTCCATTCTAGTTGCACAATTACTCCCCCATGACAAATCATCCAAATCTCGTTTAAATAGTTATGTTATCCCCTCCAACTTTGTGAAGTTACATTTTGCTTCTTGACTTGGGAATTCAAAAATTTTAGGCAAGACATGTTTCCATAAGAGCACATTATGATTTAACGAAGATTTTGGTTGTGCCTGTCATTGGGGACTTGCTGAACAACATAATGGAAGCTTGAGAACCAACTTTCCTTTTTTTTTTAAAGTTTGGAGACTAACCTACTGCTTTAGCAATAGATTGGGGACCATTGGTGCAATTTTCCCAAAGTTAAAAATTGTGATTTTTTTGTCATGAATAGGAAAATGGGCATGTTTCTCTCAATGAGAAAGCTATATATTATGTACTACGAATCGAGTTTTAACTTTCATTCATGTAGGATATGTCTGGTAGCCTGGATTATCCTACATTGTACCCAAGGTTTCTTACGACATTGTTAAGGGGTGGTGACATGTCCAAGAGAAGTGTGGAAATGCTTGACGAGATGTTGGAGGAACAAAGATGAAGATGCCTTTATTGATGGATCTTGGACAGGTATTCTTGTTATTTGTTCGATTATATTTAAATGTAAAAATCAGTTTAACTGGCTTTTATCGTTTCATGATAAATTCAGCATTTAATGCTGTCCTCTTGCTTAATGCATTGAAGCCAATAATTTTTACTTTAATGTCGTGTGCTATGATCTCCAAATAGTAGCTGATTGGTGATGTATTCAGAGATCTAGCTGAAATGTTGACTTCTTATTCAGGAATGTGTTTATGTAAAAACATGATCTGTACGGCATTCTTTGATGCCAATTGTGTAGGAAGGTGGATTATCTATGCTGGGAACTTGTTGTGTCTTGGCTTTCTTCAGTCGTGATTCAGGAGTTAACTGAGCATCTTTTTATAGTCATATCAGGCAACACAACACTGAAAGACAACATTACAGTGAGTTTATTATGTACTGTTTTCTCCCTGGACAGGTAGTGTAATTTGTAATACAACAGGAAAAAGAGAGAGGCAGTTGCCAAACTGATATGCTATATTGGATAGAATTGAGCAGTATAAACTATAATGTATAAGATTTTTGCTTTTTTCTTCATCCGTCCAATTAACCATTGCTATCAAGGTATTAATTACTGTATGAGCTGGTGATTGAATGATTTAACAGTCCACATGGCATGGCTTTTGAGAAGTCAAAAGGAGCTCTTGAGTTTGGATCCCGTTTGGCTAATTTTATGAAAATGTTTTTTCAAGTTAGAAAAGTTTTTAGAGGAAATTAGTTTAATGTAATTTTCTCTAAAAACACTTTCGAAATAGGATGCTCTCTTTTAGAGGTTAGTTTTTAAACAAAAATTAAGGTAGCTTCTTCAGGAAGCAAAAGCAAAAGGATCCTAAATGTGGTTTTATTTGTTTGGATTTCTTCAGTTTTGGTTGAAATATTTGTCCATTATGCTACGTGTTTGAGGAATGAGAAGGGAGAATGAAACAGAGGCTTCCCTCTATGCAACTTGTCATGAGTTTTAAACGGATTTCCAAAACTACCAAGAAACTATTAATATTACGAGATTTTAGCTTCGTATTCTTCATTTAATACTGTATAGTACTAATCAATTATCTCTACCAAAATAGACCACCATTCTTTAATTTCAAAGAATTGGAAGGAAGAATGGAACAATATGGAAAAATTGCGGTAGATCAAAATAATATATGGATGGTACGTTTCAAATAAGATTTCTTGAACAATGAATAATCAGGTCAATATTCACAAATAATTTCCAACGATTCCTTGAATTTTCTTTACCTTCTCACCGACAAGGCGACAAAAGTCGGAAAATATCATAATTACCTAATATGGAACGATAATTTATGATATAATTAAAAGTCTAAAAACTACCACTACAGTGTGTGATAAATGATCATTTCATATTGAGCTCACATGGGCAATCCTGTTTCCTGTTACTTGTAAACTATGTAAATGAGCAACATTAAATATTGTTTGACAACATGGGACCAAATGTAGGGATGGGGACATAATCCAATTTTGATAGTGACATTCCTTTGAAAACATGCTCTTTAAAGAGAATCGGTAAAATATATTTATGTCATGAGCCTTTGACCATAACAATGTTTACATGTCATTATCACATTAGCATCCAAATAATTTTAAGAATTATTCTAATATATGCTGATTTATTCGATAGCATTAATTACATATTTTATCTCAAGAACAATCATTTCATGATTAGATTGTTAGGTGAATGAGTTACATGCTGCATCTATGAAAGATAAGTACAAAAATTAAAAGCATTTCAAAGGCTTAGATAAAAATATATCTAACTAACAAAGATACTGAGTTTAAATCCTGACGTTACTCATGAAAATTCCTATGGCGAACCTACTATATGAAACGAATATTACACCAAAAACTTAAAGAATGCATATATTTATTAACCCATTGAACTTCGCTTCATAGTCATGAAGAACCACTTTTTTTTTCTTTCTAGTAAGAATAGAATGACTCCTCAAGTTATTATGATTGTCATTCCAATTGTACATATAGTTTGAGAACGTTACGAAGAATTGATATGTAACATAAGATAAGGAAACAACAATAATTTATTATACTTCTTCACAATAAATTTAGAGGCACATAGTCCGAAACTCACAGAGAATGAATCTTTTCACCTTGTATAAAAGTCATCCACTGCATAATTGGTAAGGTGCATAGAACAGTAAGCAAGAAAAATACAAAAGAATTCGTATATTTTTATAGTCCTCGAAATACAGACCATTGTTTCAGTTCTGGTGATACAAAATGGAAGGCAAAACTGAAAATTAAATAATCAAGGCAAAGTAAAGGCCTTTTTCCATCACCAACGAGAAAACACAAGAAAAAATTCTACAAGAACAACCAAAAAAAAAAAAACAACTGATTGGGACATTTTCTGTGACAGACAACAGCACACCCTTGCATAAATATTCATGGCATGCTTAATACGTCAAAGTGGAGAGCATTGGATATGATTAAGGAAGAACAAAAAAGTTGAAGTCTTGTTTGTTTTTCAGTGCACTGATGTGTACCAAACATGCCTTAAAATGTCTTCAAGATTTGTTCCTCATTTTTGTTGCTAGCAGTCGGACCCATGAACATTGTGCAGCTTAATACTTGCAATAATGACAAAAGTGGTATCATGGAGAAGATTGTTCTCCAAATGAAAGCTTACTGCAACTTCTGATGAGCCAAGGGACTCGAGTATTCAATTCCATTTCTGGAAGAAGTTACCTCAGACGAAGCACTAGATGACAAGTCCCTAGTGATGTTTTCGAATTTCGTTGCTGCAGCTGGAGGGTTATGCTGACGGTCAGGATTTGCACGCCCTTGGCCCATCTCGGCTAGTTTTCTAAGAAGGTTCATGATAGTGGGAAGAAATTTGGTTGATAAGGAAAGAAGTCCGGGAAGCTGAAAGCAAAAGAGGTATCAGTAGTCAAACAAATAACTTGATTTCAAAAGCTTCTGATTACTAAGAGCATTTTTGGCTAAGCTTGGAAGAAGTAAAAGTTACTTTTATGTAATTTTTGTTTCGACTAGTAAGTAAACCTTTTAAACTGGCCAAACATACTCTTAGCGATATTTCAATTTACCAAGCTGTGGCCTGACTCCAAGAAAAAAAATAGCATGAAGGGTAAAAGTTACTTGGCCCTAACTGTTGTTACAAGGGAGGGAGGAGGAGAGAGAGAGAAGTTCACTTACAGCTCCATTGCGGAATTCACCCGGGATGTCTAGTTGGACCCAAATAGCCTTTATAAGCAGAAAACCAACAAAAATAACACCCAAATATAACGGATTTCTGTTTTAAAAAAAAAAACCCTCATTAGGACAATTCAAAATTAGCCTGTGAGAGAGATCTAAATTAGTAAATGTATATCACCAGGTAGCCGCAGCACCCCCCCAACAAAGTAAAAAAGGGGTACCTCAAAAGTGTCATAAACTCGTTAAAACCCAAGATTAACAATGCAAGAATCGCCCATGGAGGTGGTAACCAAGTGTTATTTCGCTTGCTAGCTTCCTGAAAGTCCATCAATATCATCGCCAATTAGCAAAATGTTAGATATCATACTCTTATAAGAAGAATACGACAAAGATGCTAGAAGCGATACCAGACTGCGTATTTATATTCAAACAGATATAAGAATAAATAATATTGCAGAAAAAATTCAGAAGCATTATATGAGCAAGTTCGTGCCTGAGCTGCAATGGCTTGAGTAACAATGTACTCAGTCTCGGCTTTAAATTGCCTCCACAAAGATTTGCACTGGATCGGAGTTATCAAAGTTTTGGATGGTGGAATCTGGGTCAGAGCAACCACAAACAAAAAATTTAGTTCATTGTGAATATCTATAGATAAGATTAAGGCCAACAAACTTGCATGTGTGTAAACATATATAGTTTTAAGCACTAGATCGGGGCACAAGCAGCTTTAAATGTGTATTATCTTTGAACCCAAAAGGAGCAAAAGAAGAGTTTTAACACAATGGAACAGATAAAGAGTAGCTTATTTACTGTTGACGATAAATATATATGGTTTAGCATAAAGGGCAATCGCAAACATCTGTCATTTACCTCAGCCCAACTGCTTGAGGCCAGAAGGTCCACTGAAGTTCCCTTATTGGTAGATTTGGGATCCATGAGAGCGAGGGACAATGTGCTTTCAATGGTATCAGCATCATCATCCAAACGGTATGCAGCCATAACAGATAGCAGCTTCAAAGACTAGGAACCAACATCAAAAGTAATGAAAAATTGAAGAGACTTAACTCTCAATAACACCATAAAAGATCTTAGAAAAGTGTGTCATACGGCAGATCGAGCAGTTTTGGTGATTGTTCGAATATCTTCCTTCCCTGTCCAGACCCGTGGCATTGAGTCAGAATCTTGGCTGAATAATGTTGAAAACCTGAAGATAACGGTCCGATCAGTTCCCGTGGATAGATGCAGAGAAACAAAACTTCAGCATTGCCACTGTACTCTGGGTCAAGATATGAATACACAGCACATGGCAAGCACCTGTCATTCACAAAATAAAGATAACATATTAAAAAAAAAAAAGAGCACCTGTCCTTCATACAAATCAAAACTCTTCCAGCCTCTTCTTTTGCTTTGGATTCAACCAATCCTCTTGCATGTTCCTTCAACCTCGAAAGCATTTTGTCCTTCATTTCTTCATCCATTTCAAAACCAGAAATAGCACCAGAAAATCCAGCTACAGCTGTTTCAATCTCGCATCGGAGAAGTTTTCTTATTGCAGGCCATGTATCATTGTTAGCTCCTTCAAATAAAGCCTCAACAGGTCCAGATAATGCCTCATTCAATTTTGTCTACACACAAATAACAAAGAATTCATTCAACAAAATCATACCATATTCATAAATATAACTTAACCAGTAAAGAGTAGGGGGTACTTAATTAGATCTTCTTTGCTAATGCCAGTACTAGTTATTATAGCCTAAAGTTTGAAAAATCCATATAACCCATTTTAGTGAGCATCGCACATACTTTCTCTAATAATTAGAGAAAAACACAGTAATTCATTTTTCCCTTCCATGTTTAAAAGAAGAAACCTGTTGAATCTAATATATCTTTTCATACCTCATACGTTGTCGTAAGTTCAGATAGCTTGGCACTACTGACTGCAGCAACATGTGCATCTATATCGCGCTGGAGCTTATCTCTTACTCTAGAGCAGTCCCAGTTTGCTTGGTCAATCTCCGCGTCTGCAGAACAATAAGTTATCAATCAAATGTATACTGATGAGGACCTAATCTCTATTGTTCCTAACTCCCAGTGAAATTTATCAGCTACTGA